GTGTGTGTGTGTGTGTGTGAGTGTGTGTGGTCATAAACCTGATTGCTCACTGACATAATGTGGACCCGTCTGTATTTGTCCTCATAAAGTTCAATATTCTTCAGATGGTTTCAGGTCAATTTGAGACAGAAGTGATGTCATCAAACTGTCGTCATGTTGACGTGAAGAACGACATCACACATGTTGTTGAACCTGTTGGAAGTTGTGACCATAACTTTTCATTTTTATACAGATGAAACATGAGTCAAACATTTACTGTCTCTGTCTCACGACTCTGTCTCACCTGTGTGTCTCTGTCCCACCTGTCTGCCTCACTTGTCTGTCTCTGTCTCACCTGTGTGTCTCTGTCCCACCTGTCTGTCCCATCTGTCTGTCTTTGTCTCACCTATCTGACTCTGTCTCACCTGTCTGTCTCCCACAGGCTGGTGTCCTCTTTGACGTGGACGGTGTTCTGCTCCGTGGCGGCTCAGTGATCCCGGCTGCTCAACGAGCTTTCCGGAAGCTTCTGGACCGAAACAACAATTTCCTGTTTCCTGTTGTTTTTGTCACCAATGCAGGAAGTTGTCAGAGACATCACAAGGCCCAACAACTGTCTCAGCTGCTGGATGTCAAGGTAAGATAGACCGGTGGAGGACAGACAGGAGGAGGACAGACAGGTGGAGGTTGTTCTGTCTCATTGGTCCATTTGTCTTCCTGTGCTGCCATTGGACCAACACAGTATGGGACCTCTCTCTTTCTCTGTAGATCGTCCCGGAACAGGTGGTTCTTTCCCACAGTCCTTTGCGGATGTTAAAGAGTTTTCATGATAAATGTGTCCTGGTGTCAGGACAAGGGCCAGTGAGGGACATCGCCAACACGTATCCTTCACAGTCAACCTTTGACCTCTGAGCATTTTAATCCTGTCTGTATATATATGTCATGTGGCGCCCCCAATTAGCCAGTGGTGACTTTTGGCACAGCAGCTCTCTGTGATAATCATGTCACCAGATCAACAACGACAAAGAATCGAACTTAATAATTGAACTGATTGTCGATCGACTCAGTTTGTCTCGTGAAGAGTTTAGAATCAAATCCTGTGACGTAATGAGAGCGAACCTGGAACCCGTTGAGTCTCTGATTGGTTGGTTTGAGTTTTGAAGTCTTGACCGTGTCGTCGTCAGTTTGGGTTTTCAGAAGGTGGTGACCATCGAGGAGCTCAGAGAACATCACCCCCTGCTGGACATGGTGGACCATAACAGGAGACCCAAACTCTCTGTGAGTACTGTTCATGTGGAGCACTGTTAGCTGTAGGCTTTAGCTATTAGCGCAGGGTGGCCATGTTTTCAAACCTGAGACCCTAAAGTGTACTGCACATGCATGTACACACATTCTTTATTATTATTCATTAATTCAGCACAGAAAACAAGTTTTTCTCTCAAAATTCAACAAAACCTAGTTTATTTGAAAAACCTATAATATATCTAGTAAACACAAAACACAAGGATCACATTGGTGTGATGTTACAATTCACTGATTATCAGATACGGTAAAACAACGTGTATCTGTCTGTGAACACGGACGACACGTCGACTGTGAAAGTTTTTTATGAATGATCATGTGATTTAACAGTTTGTTTGATTTCAGTTGACTCCTCTGAGGACGCTTCCCAAAATAGAAGGTAACGCAACTACACACTAAAACTACACAACAACTATACAACAACTAAATAATAAATCTACACAACTCCCTGTGTTGCCATAGCAATCATACTGTTTGGGGAACCAATCAGGTGGGAGACCAACATGCAGCTGTTGATTGACGTGCTCCTGACCAATGGGAGTCCTGGCTGTGAGTACGACACACACCTGTCGACTCAGCTGCCAGTTCTGGCCTGTAACATGGACCTGATGTGGATGGCCGAGGCCCCGTCTCCACGGTAACCAACAAAACAAATCAATGATCAGTTTAGGTAATATGTCATGTGACAGCCTGTGGTCCACACGTCCTGTCAGGGTGGTGCTGTCGACTGTGTTGACTCTTCTGTGTTGCTGTAGCTTTGGTCACGGGATGTTCCTGCTGTGTCTGGAGTCCGTCTACAGGAAGTTGACAGGTCGGGAGCTGCAGTACCAGGCGCTGCTGGGAAAACCAAGTCTGCTCACGTACCAGTACGCTGAGCATCTGCTGAAGCTGCAGAACCACAACCACCGGATAAACACTGTCTACGCCATCGGGTAACCAAACTGTGATTCACATTCTACACTGTGTAATAACACACTGTGTGTAACACGGTAAACACACTGTAACACCGTAACCAAACTGTGTAACACATTCTACTATGAACAATAACAAACTGTGTGTAACACCATCAGATAACCAAACCACCATCTCTTGTTGCTTAGTGACAACCTAATGACGGACATCTATGGTGCTAACCTGTATAACCGCTACCTGGCTCAGCAGCATGCTGCCATAACTACCAGCACCAAGTTTGTTGCCCAGGGAACAGGGAGTCAGGTGACTATGGCGGTTTCGGAGGAGGAGCTGGTGTCCACTGCTGCACAGTGTCGCTCCCTACTGGTACGTAGCGTCTCATCCTTTAATGGACCAGTCCGCAGGATTTAAAAGAATCCCTCCTCACAGCTGCACACAGGTTACAAAGTGCTTCACAAGATCCATGGTAGCAATGAACACATTAAAATAAATGGTACCTGTCCTCAGGTGTGCACAGGCGTCTATAACCCTCGCTCCCCGTTGCCTAGTGACCAGAGCAGCACCATCACTGAGACAGTGTTCCACGGTCACAGAGACCTGGTCCTGGAGCCAGACCTGGTGGAGCCAAGTCATGTGGTGGAAGATGTGGAGGCTGCAGTGGATCTGCTGCTGCAGGAGGAGGGCGCTGTTACACCTGACCTCTGACACACCGTCAGTTATGTTGTCCAATCAAGATCAATGCAGAGGACCTGAGGAGGTCTCACTCTGTCTGTTTATCAGGATACTGTAGACAGATCACATCCACATCGGGTCCTGGTCCTGTGAGGACCTGAACATGGAGCAGAGTCTGAACTCTGAACTCACACAGGTTCTTTAACCACTTTGATAAATTAAGAGCTGTTCTGATCATGTGACTCTTGTCACATGACTGTGTGTGTGTAATGTCATTTGTCAACAGCTTTTTATTTTACTGACAAATTTAGTAATAGATTCTACATTCATATTTTAGATGATTTATGTTCAAACATAAAATAAACAAAGAAAATCATGTAGAATTTTACAACATATTTTTTGGTGTATTTAGTTTTTTATTGACAAAACCCTGAACCTGAATTATGTCATAACCATGTTCCTCATAAAAACACAAACACATAAAACCACACGGACAAATTCATAAGAAAAGAGTTTTAAAAATGAATAAATGAATGAAATCAACAACTGTTTTCACACATGATCTCTTGAAAATGTTCAAAAAATAGTGTCTGTACATGTTGTGTAGACATGTTGTGTAGTCATGTTGTCTGATCATGTTGTGTAGACATGTTGTGTAGACATGTTGT